TAACCAACGAATTTGAAGCCAATTTTGAGAAAGGTCTGAAAATGTATTTGAGGCTTCGTGTAAAGTATCCCGATAAATAAAAATATCCACTTCGTCCTGTATGGCCGGGTGTTATCAATTTTGGAGACAACCGTCTGAACTGTTGAGGCGCTAGAGTTGCAGTGCACAGATGAACGCACGCACGGACGGACGGACGGAAAGACAGAGAGGCAGACAGGCACGTATTGCCGACAATCGAGAAGTCCCCTGAAGATGCCCTCCGCAGTCGTGGGCGAAACGTTTGGCAGCTCAAAGCCAATTGGACCACGGCCCATCAGCCCGGAAGACATGAAGAATAAATCGAGAAGTGTTTGTGTTTTTTGGTGAAAGTTATACTTTTTTGCAATAGACATATTCGCTGTAGGAGCAGATTAAACAAATTTTTTCATCGATTGCATCATACACCATTTTCTGCATATCGGAGAGGAACTTTCAACTTTGAGATACGCAGGTTCACATAGTTCATTGTAGAAATCTCTCATTACGTAAGTCATAACGATGTATTACGTTGTGCTTTTGAAAAAGTTCTTACTTATAGATGTATTATCTCTCGACGACGCGTGGGAAAAACATTCTTCATGCACGTATTCTGTTACGTAATTTTCCTTTCATCGTGACTGTGAAGAACACGTGGTAGTGAATATTCAATTAATGAATATTAGAAACAAAATAATATCGATATATAACTTTCTGTAAACCGAAAAGCCAATGAAACATTATTACACGTCCGTGTCATGTTTTGCACAATCGGTCAATGAATAGACTTTTTTCGATTTGGGTATAACGTGTTTGTCTTATTCTAGATGAAAAAAATAAAATTGTGTTGGTTTGTTCGAGAAAATATTTAGTTGTCTTCAGATAAGTACTATTTTTTCCGTCCCGTCATATACAAGGCAAAACTGCTTTCGATTACGACGCATTTGGGGTGAATTATAAAACCAATTTCGTCTGCGAAGCATTATTCTGAAACCCTATCTCTCAGTGCTTAGGGCTCATTAATATTTCCAGAATATTTCCAAAAAATTGAGCGTTTTCCGCGAGAGAGCATAAGAGATTACGATGTTTGACGTTATTGAAGATGCGCTATCGAATCTTGTGGGGCATCGGGAGGCTTTATCCTCAAATGAGGAATGGATAAAACAAGTGAAATTGAGAATTCTCTACTGAAAACTTAGACGAATAATGTATTTACAGAAGCACTATCCGTGGTTGGTATGTCGAAGGTAAAATTGAACAGTATGCATGTACCACGTTGAGTACAAAACTAACAAGATTTCATGTTTCGTGTTTGCGACTGTATTGCAACGATTTATCAACTACATAACCTCACCTAACCTAACTCAATTGTGAATAATATATTTCAGTGCGAACAACAGTTCGTCTGTAAATGTCGGAGAATTCCTGTTGCGAAGGAAGAAATAAAATTCCCTTTAGCTCCATGAATACACCTAAGTTAACAATTTGTACATCCCTCTCCAGATAATCTGCTGAAGATGTGCTAATAAACAGTGCGCATTGCTGTATTTCTCAAAACTAAGTTAGATTAGTGAACTAACATAATTGTAAATTGCTGGTGGGTGCACCTACATTTTTTGAAAGCAGAATTCGCAATCATAGTTGAATGTTTAAATTTTTATGTAAATAAATTTGTAATAATTGCACTTTTCTGGTCTTTTATTCATTTGAAAACGTATGCCAAGACAAATATTTTGCCATCAAACTGTCAGTAAACTTTTTAAAACGTTTCAGGAATATCCCGTTTCAGATTTTTTGATATCCATAGATTCACATTAAATTTTAATCTGTATATAAAATTTAAACATATTTACGAGATTTTACTTAAGACATGGCAGTTTAAAGTTGAATTATCATTTATCATTGTCCCATATTCTGTTCATAACTCAATAAATGATTTACCATTCATAAATATTTATTGACATTTTAATTTGTAAGAGTTTGAAAACAATTTGAAATGTTTCTCGCATACCTCGGTAAATAAAATTGAAGTTGAGTTGATACATTCCACATAACTGGTCGGAACCTTGTATTGAAAGCGTGGAGGTTAGTATAAAGAGGATGCACCTGGAAGTCTCGTGCTCTTGAGGAAGAGAAAGCGATAACGCGTGCCTATAATGCAGATCAAGCTTGTGCTTCAGGTAACTTCACTCAAGTTGTAAACTTCCTGACTACGTGGACGATGTTAATGTATTTGTAAGTAAATATTGATGGTAGATTAAAGACAAGTTTTCATCTCGCTGTCGCATCACCGGAGTCTTTGCCGTGAATTTAAATGCAACTCCTCTCCCGTGCTCGCCAACATTGACATTTCTAATTTGTCTGTCGACGACAAATTTGTACAACTCAATTTGGCCGTGGATGTGACATTTCCTTGTACAACTATCAACAGCACTATGTTTCTCTTTGACATAAGGCTAGTAAAGAATTCAAACATTCTTTGAGCTTCGTCAAAACACACAAAAGTAGTGTTGGGACGTAGTACTATAATTGCAATAGTACAGAGTAGTGGCTGATAGTGGCAAAACCTGATACTAGCCAGTTGGGCGATATATAAAAATGAAACCATTTTGTCTATTTATCTGAAGAACTCCATAATTCTCAGTACTACCGGAAACTTTCGCACTACACAGATTAATTCTTTCAAATGAAGGTTGCATGTGAAAAACTTTTCATGTAAAATTAACAGACACCAAATGAATAAGAAACATTCAATTGATTGATGGTCTTTTCCGAACACGCCGACAGCTATGGTCATTCAGCACCGTAGTGTAGTGGATGTCTGGAGGACGAATCTAGCTGCCGTCTGCTCTTATCGGTAGTTTTCCGTGGTTTCTCCGATCAACACGAGGCGAATGTCGGAGCGAAACCCCAAGAAACGGGTCACGTACCGCGCGCGATCATTTCTTCCTCTTCCTTGTCCTATCCTCACCCCTTACTTACATACACACTCTCATACACATCACTACCAAACCTGCCGGAAGACCGGTCAGGAAATTAGAGTTTGTTCCGTCAGGGACGGTGCCCTGCTAGTGGGAGGTTCCTGGTTGGGATAACCTCTTTAGCCGACGGTAGGTAGGTGCCGGATCTCACCATCCAGCTGGGAAAAATCATCACTACTTCCAGAGTAAAAACACGCATTTCACTTACGAGTCGCGTCTGGAATCACTAATCAGTCAGTCATAAATCCGTAGTGTATCGAGTGTTTTATCTTGGGAGGTGGCAGATTTTCTCTCCCAGGGAATGGTGAGATTCAGCGCCGAAGAAAAATAGAAAAGCAATTTTCCCCCGGTGAGTGGGAAGAAAAGAGAGGCCAAAATATAGCTGGTTAAAATGAGTTAATAAAATAATAAAAGTGAAGGATGTAAGGATGACGTCTGTGAAGACCGCTTTCGAGGAAGGAAATTATACTTCGATATGTAAGAATTATGCAAACAGGTAGTTGATTATAAATATATACCTGTGTAATAAATAAATAAAATTTGTTTCAATCTCAGAATAAATGCAAAATTCTCAGTCAATACATCTAGTCGGCTGCAATGTGCTCGTAGTTCCCACTCCTCCCTAGAGGGAAATCTAGCTTGAGCCTCTGCCTGTGACTGTTTATAATTACAATATTTGTAAATAATATTTAACAAATTATCAGTGTTTAATGTATGTAAAGTGAACTTCTTTAAGGGCCGCTTCACTCTTTGTAAACTTTCTAAGTTTGGAAAAAACGTGAGTGCGATACGCTGTTGGCATGCAAGTGTTGAAATACACATGTTATGCCCATTCCTGCTTCCTATCATAGTTTGAAGCACTCCTCATTTTTTTCGCTAGAGAAAAAGCCAATTCTCTTTCCAGCGTATCCTCTTGTTCGTTGAACTCCAGGGTGCTTTCAACCAGATGCCCCCACCCTCTGCTCCCCACTAGTCTGTAACCACTCAACGTCAGGCTTCTCCCGTCGTCAAGCCCGAGTCAAAAACAAAACAAATCTGCCTATAAAGTGCAGACGCCTCTTCATTCCCAGAATAACACAGCCCAGCCCTCGCGTGGACTGACAACTGCTTCGCTGACGTGAAGAACTTCGTTACCTAAGCTAATAGAAACAGCATGTGTCCCACTCGACAGAATATTCCTCCAGACTCCAGACGTATAGGGCCGTTCCGAATTGAAGAGGACGCATTCTTGAGATAAAAAAAAAAGAACTTCCGTCTGACGATGTAGCCTTGGGGAACTCCTTTACTGTTCACGGCCTACACATCCTCATTAAAAGTGTATGAAATTTTTATCGCATCTCATACATTTCGCTGTGCCAGTTTTTTTGTTGTTGCTTTTTTCTCTGTATCTTCCCGAACAGCGAGTTCAGCGCGTGTACCTCTCCGTCAATTTATCAACACCAGGTCGCCTCAGGTCGTCGTTAAAGTTGAGATACGCGCGGTGGGGCGTTTAAAAGTTTTCGCCGGGCCCTCTGGGAGTGCGCTGCTGCCGGTTCACCCCCCCCCTCCCCCCTCGGGGCACGGGGAGGAGTCGGAGGTTCGACAGGCGCAGCTCCTGCCGCCTCACTCGTGCCCCTGGAGAGTGCCCTCCCACGCGTCTGGGCGGAACGAGCCAGCGAAAAGTGGATGCGATGCATCTGGAAATGTATGCGTATGATGGAGCAGACGTGAATGCACGCGTTTCATCGGCGTAGGCGAGGGTGGGGTGGGGATCATATCTGCTATTTTTGACTAACATGAAATCGAGCTCGATGACAGGTGTTGCTGGCTGTCCGGAAAGGAGGCATGACTGGATAAAATCAGGTTTATAAATACATCTGCTTTCAATGTTCATTATTTGCAAATTGATTCCTCTGAATACCAGAAGAGCTTTTTGTATTCAATTCGCAACCGGGTGAATATTTCCAATAAAATACGTGAAATGACGGTATTAATATTAAATAAAATATTTTTTACCCTTATGAGATGTAATTGATGGTAAACGTATTATTCCAGTATTGGATATGTAACATTATTTTGTTAATGATTCTACCAACCTTTTGGCCAAAATGTTTTCTTAGTAAATTGAATGTCGGATAAGATTTGATGGGAGAATCATGTACTAAAAAATAAGTATCTATATTGTAATATGTGTTTGGATATATAACTGAGGATTATAGACCCGACTTAGGCTGAAGAAATTTTTAAAAAATGCTGTCAATCACCAAATGAAAGATTTGCATGTAATGAACCTACAATACAATTTAAGAATTCGAGAAAATAAGTTTTGAAATTCATATGCATGAACCAAACAACATAGAAAATTAATATTGCTTTTTCGCAAACCACGTTTTTTAAGTGAAATCGTAAAATACATACGTGAGTATTGGAAAGTGCCGTTTGTGAATTCTACCTTATGCGAAGTAAGTCTCTCCGCACGGGGAGGAATCAGGGGCTCTTATCAAAAATTTCCTTTGGGTTCGTAGCAACCAGATCGTTGGGAAGAAAGTAAAAGGGACAACACTTCAGCATCTGTTGGTGATTATGCAATTTACATTTTCATTTCTTACAGATGCAGTTTGTGTTACCAGCATAATTTCTGTTGCCACTGTCACCACTGCAGAAAGACTTCCCTGGCGCACAGTATTTGCTTTCAAGGTGTGACACGGATACTTCCTGGTTCATTACAAGTTTAATTTTTGCGCCGAATGTAATACAATTTCTCGGCAATGTAAATATCCCAGTTAGCTATACGCGTGCGTGATCATACATATTAGCAAGGCTGGAAGCGATGAGTATTGGTGCACGAAAATAAGGGAGATCGCAGTTGAATTCGTTTCACAACGGATATGCAGGAAACTCTTGATGCATATTTTATCGGTAAAATGGTAATTGATGAGCTATTATTCGAAATTAAATGTTAATGGAAATGTAATTAACACCCATATGTGATAAACGTGAACTCAACCGAATACCTATCAGGGGCAGGGAGGAAATTTTTCGTCAATCGAGATTGTAATACATAATTATAATTCACTGGATGAAACGATTATTTCACAAAAAAGGTAAATATTTAGCATTCCAAATCTGATAGCTTTTTGATAACACTTGTATAAATGTGAAAAGGCTATTTTGGAGCGATGGACGTAATTTTTTCTTGTCAATTTTTGTGTTTGTTTCTGGCTTCGCAGTGCTCTAAAATTATGTTGTAATTGTGAAAGTTGCTTTTCTGAGTTATGTCTACAAATAAACAATATTATGACAATTTTTCTTGAAATGTAGAAGGTAGATTGTATTTGTATTCAAGACACTTTACGGTTTACTTTACTTACAATTACACTTTACGGTTTTTATTATGATTTGCGATACCACACGCACGAATTCTCTAAAAGTGACGATAAAATGGATTGGGATGAATGTTGATTAAGAAATGGCGGAATAAGAACAAGTCAGTGTATCTTACTTTTTCGCCCTGAGATGACCAAAATTTGAATACGACTAGCCGGGTCCCGAGTGTGATATTTGCGATTGAATACAGAAACAGAAGTATGTTTAACAACAACGCTGGGACATTCTCGCGGACACGAAACAGTCATATTTTGGTTACAAAGAAGACAATATCGACCCCTATTAGTTTAAAAAAATGCGTGGAAAGAGGGCATTGACATTGTTCGGTATATACACCATTTGCAGAGGCATGAGGCTTACTGATTTAGGAAGCATTTTGGTTAAAGCTAGGTTCTCTTTGTTGCAATGCGTCAGAAACTACTCGCGCGTCATTTTAATGTACACGTGTGACTGGCAAGTAAGCACCGAGAACGATCCTGATTAAATCCGCGGCGCATTTGTCAAAATCCGGATGGCCGTGATAGCGCCAGCGCGCGCGGGCGGGCAGGGGACGCGCTAGCCGAGGGGCGAGGGCGCGGACTGGGCGCGAACCACCGGGGAGGGCGAGAGATGAGTTAGGGCGCCGTGCTAGGCGAGGGAAAGGGCTGGTAGAGGGTGGGCGGAAGACGAGCAGTGAGCGCCCGCAGGGTAGGCGGGCTGAGGGCGAGGGGATCGGGGCTGAGCGGGCTAAGGGCGGGCGGAGGACGTCTGAGGCGGCCGCAGGCTGTGCGCCAGGCGGCGCAGGGCGTCGAGGGCTCGGACGCGGGGCGGGCTGGCGGGGCGGCGCTGCGTCTCCCACGCCCAAAGCGGAGCGCTTGCCGCTCGTCGGGCCCCGCGCCGCGCGCAAATAGCCTGCCGGCCGCGCCCACGCTCCGCCCGCCACCCCCCCCCCCCCGCCGCCCCCAGCCGGGCTTCGAACCCAGTCGAGCGCGGACCGCACCGGCAGGTTACGACGTTGGGCCAAGGCTGGCATTACCTGTGTTTTTACCCATCGCCGATCACGAAATTGGTACGTTCGTTAAATACGGGAGTGTTAGGTTTTGTTGGGCCGGGGAATTTCCACAACTCGGTGCAGCGCAACTTTACTGCCGGGAATTGCGCGTGATGTTTGCGCTCGGGCTCGTCAATGAAGAGCTGCCAAGGTAATGTTCATAAACGAGTCCAAATATTCCCAGAGTTACACTTCACTTTTTTTTTTTGTTTCAAAAATCTTGTTCAAATTTTGTTACAGTTTCTTTTAGTTCGCTCCTTCTCTGTGTTCTACGGCGATTCTGCACGTTCTGTCTGCACTGTCTCATTCCTTTTATTATGCATTTCCTTCTTTCTCATTTCCTTGCTTGATTTCTCTCTTCCCACCAACTTATTTCCTGTCCAAAGTTCTCCTTGCGCTTCACTTTTTTTGACCCGCTAATCCCTCTTCCTCGCTCTTATTTTGTAGGTCTAAATTCTCCACCCTCTGTATCATCATTTATGTAATTGCCGACATTATCGATGATATACTTCCATAACCTACTTATCTGTCATATTTCATTTAACCCTTGCCCCAAATCGGTCTCTCCCTCATCTTTCCATTCTGTTTGTTAGGTGCACCAACACCTTCTTCCCTTGAAATAATTCCGACACTCACACATCAGTCATTTTTCACTACACTTTTGAAACGAAACCCACTAGTATTTTATTAATTTCCGTTTTACAATTAATTTATGCCTCGATAGTAGCGCATGACGTGATGTTGCCTCTTTTGAAACTTAATGTAAGCAAATCTATAAAAAGTGCATCAGAGGGATTTGCTGACGAGGTGAGAATTAATTGTTTAACAAACAAAATAAATTATTCAAAAGTAATTACCAAATCCACTTTTAAAAAAGTGTACAGAGAATAGAAAGCATCAAGTGAGAACATATAAAAGGATGGCCTTACCAAGCAATATATATAACTAAAATAAAACACATTCAAAAAGTAATCATGTTTCTGTGCATTTAGTATGTTATACATTGATTTTCAAGTATTGAGTGCTAATATTTAACAATTGGCATAAAAAAAAAAGGTTCATCATATGCTTTCAGTTCGTACCGAGAGTTGTAAGCTTACGGTTACGTTACGTGACTTGTATGGTATTTCACTCCCCGTGCCGTCTTTAACGTTAACGCCGTATCAGGACACTTGTTCAGAGATCGAGCGCCGTAGCGGGTGTGTTTTCTCTCGCGGCGGACAAAATCGATTGTTCAACTGCTCCCCCCCCCCCCCCCGCGCAATCGGCATTTCTCGTCGACAACGCCTTCCCGTCGGGCACGGGCGGGCGGGGCGGGCGGGGCGGAGCGGGTGGCGCGTGCCGACGACTCGCGCCGCGACGGCTGCGCGGGCACGCGATGCCACCCTCGTCGCGCCTCGCGCCCCACGCACCCACGACACGCCCACGCAACGCTTGGCCGTGGCGCCGCTCCGGCCGGAGCCGTCGCGACTCCTCCCCCCGCCCGCCGACACTCGACCCCGGGATCATGATTTGACCGCACTTGCCACTCCGTTGCCCTTCGCCGCCGCCACCCCCTAGCTAGCCCTCCCCCGCACGCGTCCCCGCCACCATGTCGTTTCCCGCTACATTTTGTTGAAACCCTATTGTCCCCGGCTGCTCTGTCATCTTCGCGCTCCCGTCGTACCGTGTCCCCCGTCAAACTCGCACCCCCTGCCCCCAGGCCGCCCCCGCCCCCACTCACCCTCCTCGTCGCCCACGGTCCTTGCCGTCCCTCGCCTCTGCCACCCTCGTCATTTCCGTGATCCGCTGTCAACCCGACCCTTGCTCGTCGCACCACGGGCCAGCCCCACACCCGCCGCACCCGCCGCCACGCTGCACTCGTCACCTTCACAACTGTCGCTATATCGCTGTCACCACAGGCTTTTCACTGCCCCCTCCTCCCTCGGCGCCCTTCGCAGACCATCTCGCCTGCCCTCTCTCCGCCTCTCTCTTGCCCTCTCTTCTGCCCTCTGCTGCCTCTCTCTGCCCTCTCTCTGCCTTCTCTCTGCCCTCTCTCGCTGCCCTCTCTCTCCCTCTCTCTGCCCTCTTCTCTGCCCTCTCTCTGCCCTCTCTCTTGCCCTCTCGCGCGCTCTCTCGCCGCTCTCTCGCCGCTCTCTCGCCGCCTCTCGCCGCCCTCTCGCCGCCCTCTCGCCGCCCTCTCGCCGCCCTCTCGCCGCCCTCTCGCCGCCCTCTTCACCCCGGTCTTGTTGCGTTGCCTCGTTTACATCTCTATTCTGCTGCATCTGTGTCACGAACATCGACGAACAACTTCGCCATCTCGCGCTCTCCACTTTCTCTTCAAAACAAGCCTGCTGCCCCCTCGCACACCTCACCTTTACTGCTACTGCCTCTGGGGCTTTCGTCACTGTCGACGATGCGTTGACCAACGGCGTTTTGCACCTGCATTTCGTCTTTATCTTCTAATTCTCCTCGCCCTTCGCCTTCCTCGTATCTCCATCTCATTGGTTTCTGCTATTTTACTCTACGGCTTGCTTTACATTGTAGTCTTCAACTCACATTTTCATCTTTGCAGCTTGTGATCGTGACATTTTTGTTTCTTGCTAGTATATAGATGTTGCTGCATTAACTCTCACTTCTCACTTTCGACTTCCGCTGTCGGTGTCCATTGTA